GCTGATGCTCTGGCCATTCACATAGAAAAACCGGAACTGTGCATACAAAAGAAGATTACTCAACCACTTCTACTGTCATGGTAACAACTTTGTTGATTTTTGATGACTTAATTTTGTTTGTTTGTCTGCTCCTTTAATTGCTTATAATTCTTGTATTCATTTAGAACTCTTACGTAATTTTGTATTCTCTACTTTGTTCCTATGTGTATGCCGAGTAAAACTCACTCGTCGAATTATTCATATTATTACATAACTTCATTTTAACAACTGTTTGTGACAACTCATCACCTTTGTTACTACCTTAATTTCATTAACACCTAATTTTCTTGACTTGTATTACCAATCTTCACCTGTTTAGTTAAAATGACCATAACCAACTGTAATTTTGTTTGACAAACTTAATGTACACATACATACAAAACAACCCATACGTATATATTTGCGATTGTACAGTTAAGAAAATGAATTCACCGCCGAAAAGAGACTCTTCGCTGAGATCTACGTGTTTTGTTTTCATTAAAATCGTTTGGTATGATTGTTCTGTTAAACAGGTTGAACAGGCTGCTGTCCTTAAATCGTATCATATAAGGCGGAAAGCTGAAAGGTAGTTTCATTGACTTATATGCATACATACATACACAACAAGTGTGACTTACACTCACTGCCAAGTAAGTGCAGAAATATGAATAATTGCTGAGACTAGTAAATAAAGTAATTAAAGCTAACTAATTGATAGTCAACTAACTAAGTAGATTATGAATCATTGATTGGAGTAATTTAGAATAACGTATTCAAGCGAACAGAGATATTGTTTTCAATCAGACCTCATCAAGCTTAACTCTAATATACACCCACATAATATTCATTCGGAAATCTATAAAACACAAAATAATTGAGCAAAGAATATTCTTTTACGATAATTTCCTCCTCTTCTGGCTCTACAATTATATATATATATATATATATATATATATATATATATATATACATAGAATATTCTAGATTAATAGTCAATAATAATATTAGTGCCTGTTAAATAATATCGATTTGTTAAGTAAGATCACAATGGAATTAAAGTTCATTCGAGATGCTTAAATAATAATAAAAATAATAAACATATAATAGTAAACAGACTATCAGCTAAAATTAAGGAAATTCCACAACCGATTAAGGATCATTCACATCTAGATGGTCAAGGTAAGGTAAAGATAATGTCTGAACTAACTTCATTTGGACGCATACATTAGGCTTCTTAATGTGGATTCCAACAGCCTCAGCAATATTTAGTAGTTGAACTCTTAAGTCGAAATTAAGATTCTTTTGGTATGCGGCAAATGACTCTGAAAGCTGCCTCGTTGACATGAATCTTGTGTTCTGCATCCACAAGATGAGATAGAATGGCGCTATGTGAATGGATTTTGTTTGTCCCTAACTTAACAAACCACTATGCAGGGTGATGTTCAGAAATCCGAAGAGGAACACGCCTGATTGTACGGCCTATGCAACTAACTGGCTCACTCCACAGGAGCAGTTCAATTGGTAGGTACACATGGAAGAGGTGAAATTAAGCAGTTTGTCTTTTACTCCCATGATTATGAGTATTAAACACAAAATAACTGAGCATGGAATATCCTTTTCGATAATTTCCTTCTCTTCTGGCTCTACAATAATATACATGTGTGTTTATATACATAGAATATTCTAGAATAGTAGTCAATAACAATATTAGTGTTTTTTTAAATAATATCGATTTGTTAAGTAAGATCACAATGGAATTACAGTTCATTAAAGATACCTAAATTATAATAATAATAATAATACTAAAGATATAACATCAAATACAATATCAAGTCAAATTAGGAAAATTTCCACAAAAATTCAGTATCATTCAAACCTAGTTGGCCAAGGTAAGGATAATGTCTGAACTAGCTTCTTTTAGACGCACAAATTAGGCTTCTTAATGTGGATCCAAACAGCCAGTCTCAGCAATATTTAGTAACTGAACTCTTAAGGTGTAGTTAAGATTTGTTGGTATGCGGTAAATGACTTTGAAAGCCGCGTCGTTAACGTCAATCTTGTCTTGTGTATCCACAAGATCAGATAGAATAGCGCTATGTGAATATATTTTGTTTATCCTTTACTTAACCACTATACTTGATGATGTTCGGAAATCCGATGAGAAACACGCCTAATTGTACGGCCTATGTAATTGGCTCCACAGGAGCAGTTAAATTTCTATCGACTACCATTCTAGAATATTCTTTATATATAAATTGTAAAGCCAGAAGAGGAAGCTGCCAAAAAGGATATTCTCTGTTCAATCAGTTTGCGTTTTATAGACACCTACATAACTTTACAAATAAATATTCTCACATAGATCAATCACAGTGTTTTGTCAGTCAATAGGATAATAAGACTGTGTATATAAATTGTGCAATAGTCATAATAATGAATCATTATAGTAATAATAATGATTCGATCAATAACAAGCATGAAAAAGTGAGGCAATCTGTGATAACACGAATAACTAGAAACAGCATGATTAAACAAACAAATGTTCAGATAGAAGTAATGGTCGATAAAGGCTAAGAAAACAAAATGAACTGATTCAGTAGTGCTAGATTGTAAGGGAAGTAAATCAACTATGTTTCAATGAAGATGTGATAAGATTAAGGGATGATAAGAGAGGGGTTGAAAATATAAGTAAGGGGTGGTGTAGAAGTCGTTAGTTGGTTATGTCTTAATAGGCCAAGGGAGGGATAATGACTGTACGAACTCCTTTTGAATGCAAAGTTTAGGTTTAATAGTACGAATGCCTATCGCCTCAGCTGTGTGCAGTAGACGGATACGAAGTCTATTGCAAAGGTTCGGTAGGATACGATGAATTACTTTGAAAGCTCTCGTTTTCTTCACTACATGACCACTACCACCTAAATGTGACAAAATTGAGCTACGGATTGTTTTTGTCTGTCCTTTGCCAAACCACGATGGGAGATGTTCACTAACACGTTGGCTAAGCTGTCTAGTAGTACGCCCAACGTAACTGTCACCACAGGTGCAGATGAATTGATAAATGCATATAGATGTGACAAAACTATCAAGCTTATCCTTCGTTTGCGTCCCAATCATTCGTCAGCTAAAGAATAACAAATATAAGTTTGCTGTGTAAAACGTCCTTCGTATACTCCTGAAAGTCTTTGGAATAAAATCTCACTGGACAAGTCACCATTAAATAGTAACTTAATAAACAGAGGTTTTTTACGTGCAATCATAGTTACAGGTTTTCTCGCCAGCGTTTTCATATGTTTCTTTATGAAACTACTCGGATAGTCCATTTCCGTCAAGGAACCTTGAATACATTCAAATTCCTTTTGTAAGTGGTCACCCGTACATATCTTTTTGCTCTGCTCGTATGACATTTGACCACATTTCTCTTGTACTTAATGGGCACGTAACTAACCAACTGTGTGTGCATTACCCTGTGAATATGCCTCTTGTGTACAAACTGCTCCCAAGTGACCCATTTTCTCACCCGCTTAGCAAGACATCCAGAAAATGTAGTTTACTATTCTGCTCCTCTTCACAAGTAAAAGTAAGTGAAAGGGTGGATTTTGTTGAATTTTAGGAACAATTCGTCTATATTTGCATTTCCATCAGTTAAGATAGATGATGGTATCATCGACATAACGGTAATACATAACAAACTCCTTGATGATGTCATTAAATTTCCTGTTTTGAAGTTTTGCGAGGAAGTAATCAGCTAATATTTGGCCTAATCGTGAACCCATAGCGCTATTTCATCTACTTGTCGGTAGTATGAATTATTGTAGACAAAGTGCACATTCCATATTAGTTTGTTCATTAGATATATCACACAGTGAAACAGTATTATTTACTGGACATTGACGTTTAGCAAAAAATTTATTGTTCATAATCATATCATCAATTATAATCACACGACTTTGAAACTTGAGTTTTATAGTTTTCTTTGTCCTCTCCTATTTGTCGTCTTCGGGGTAGTAGAATTTTCCAGATGTTCTGTTGGAGAGGTGTTCAATCATGCCTATTACACGTATTTTCATTCAGTTGATTCGATAAACAAAGCTTCTGTTATCAATCTCTACCTCCACCCTGTGACATTAGATTTTAAAACTGTCATCCTATCCCATCCATCCTATTGTATGGTTGTGTGTGTGTGTGTGTGTAACTGCATGTAGTGAGTGGTATAGCTCAACTATTCTCTAGATTTCTTATCATATTCGGGTCAACCAATCTAGATTTTGCTGCCAGGTTTTTATGCTCGGTCAGTCTGACTGCACCTGTTCTACTACTTTAACCAAACATTCATTGCAGACAGAGTATTAGATAAACTAAATTGTTTTGGTTTATTGGCTCCATAAGAGGGATCCTCTAACCGACAAAGCTTGTTTCTAATTGAGTTTGTGGATGGTTTGAATACCAGTCACTTTTATTCCTACCTGCCTTGCTAAGAATTCTGTGTAAGGTTTCCGTCGTTCCTTTCTTGTATGGAATTACTAATGATCATTTAGATTCCTTATTTTTGGTGTCGTCATTAATATTATTATGATCACTATCGCTATTATCATTATTTATTTTATTTTTACACTTTCCTACATACTTTCTCACTAATTTATCAGGGTAATTAGGCTTCTCTTACATGTCTCACTTCCTGTCCTAGATTTTCTTTGGTACTACTTAGTTTTTGTGCTCTATCACTTAAACATTTCACCAATCCTATTTTTACTGACATAGGATGGGATGATAGGAAGCCTTGAAGATAAAGTGCACATTCATTGTGCATTTAAGGATAAGAGAATTCCTAAATCCAATTGCCTTTCGGTGATTTCTTGACAAATTCACAGTAGATATGTCTTAATTAACAGCAGGCAACCCCACCCCGTCCACACACACACCAACATCCAGACACGTCTAATCCACAAAATCCAGTTGTCAATCACATCTAACGAGTATTTTTAATCACACACACACACACACACAAAGAAAACACAAACAGTATACACAAAGTTTTATAATTTGCACAGCAAACAAAAGAAAATAAAAACAAGAATATCTTGGCCTTCAACCCCCACCCCCTTCTACCTAGAAGTAAACATTTTTTTTAAAATTGAAGAAAGATACTCGGTTTATCTATACATAAATGAATGTGTGCATGTGTGTGTGTGTCACAGTGTGTAACAATTATACAAATAAATACAATGAGTAATTTTCCTGGCACCCTTTGTGTCTCTATGTCTGTGTGTGCATTCCTCTTGTTTAGAAGAAACTTTTAGACAAAAATAAAGAAAAATAAACAAGTCAGTCATATATAGACAACACGTCAAAGTTCCGATTGAAAGTCAGCGTGTCCGCACACACACACACAACCACACACACCTACCTACCACCTGAAGAGTAGGATTAAAATACGAAGACAAAAAGAAAGAATACCGTTGAAGAGATCGATGGAATGTTGAATCTGTTATCCAGAATAATAATACTAGTAGTAGTAATAATCATAATCATAATAATACAAGAATAATGCATATTGACAAGAAATTGAACAAACAAACAAACACATTGAAACATAAAAATCATAAAAGTAAATAATACACACACACACACATACATACACACATATTTATATATATAAAGCATCCCTATCTGAAAAGGGTTCACAAATCTGATATGCTTGTTCATCAGGAAAAGAAATAGCACAGAAGAAGAAGAAGACGACGATGTAGAAGGGTTGAAAAAGAGATAGCAATCAATCAATTAATCAATAAATTAAGAAGGTAAAAAATTGATAACCTAATTTCTATTCATCACTAATCAATCTGTACAATTGGCTAGTTTACAAGAAAATATATTCAAGAAAATAAGGGAAAACAGAATTTACCCCATCCCCCCACCCAGTGGACAAGAATAATCAAAAGCAAAAATGATGAGTGTAGATATTTTTGAGAGAGAGAGAGGGAGGGAGAGAGAACATAAAATACAAATTTGAAATGTTTTATTATACAAAAATCAATTAATCATTAAGTCAAATGAAATGAGGAACAAATGACATGAACATAAAAGATAAAGAAAATAGGGAAGAAAATTATAATTTACATGACAATAAGGTAGTAACATCTTTATTATTTTCTAATTTTCGTCTCCTACGTTTTTTATTCGGTCGTGAATGTTTTTTCTGTAGGGTTGATGATGATGATGCTGACACTGTTGACGCTGACGACGATACTGAATTGAAATGACCTGATAATTGATGAATCGAAGTTAATCCGTTTGTCTAAAAGAGGAGTGTGGGTTATTTCGAAGATGACAAAAAAATAAATAAATAAAAAAGACAGGGAGGCATATATTAATCAATAATAATAATAATAATGTATTTGCTCAACACATTTCGAACAATCTGATCACACACGGTCACAGGACAGTATCTTAATTACCACAGTTTCTGCCCTGTTTGGTACAAAAGAGCCTTAATGAGTGAGGTGCTTCTTTACTAGAATCCAACGTATACGCACTGAAAACAGACACACTTGATGAAGAAGAAAGTTGACACAAACTCTGGTTGATAACAATTATTCAGACAAGTTCATCGGGAGTAGTCAGTGGAACACCAAGACCCACTCTACAACTCGCCCCCTGAGAAAGACGTGTACATCAAACTACCCTATATGGGGCAGCATAGCAGCTTGATAACTAGACAAAGACTGAACGCTTCTGTGGTTAAAAAGACTTTTTATGCAGTTAATATCATAATAATAGAGAATGTAAAGTCAATATATCCATCTATCTAAGCCCTTCGAACATGCGAAAAATGACGTCACATCTCACTGTGTTTACCAATTTGAATGTACGTGCAGACACACACATACACAGAAGGGAGGACTCATCGAACTCTGAAAGTAAGGGCCGGCTTCAGAGCATATTCCTATATGGCTTCAGAAACAAATGGAATCTTCAGAACCCATTAATGGTGAGAACAGGAGATCTAGCGCCTAGCTATATTGCGAAACATATGATAGAGAGAGGACATGAAATTGACGTTAACACATCTTTTAAACTCATTTACAGAATGTGTTTGAATAAGGGCATATCCTAAAGTTTGTGGAAGCCCTATTTGGCAATTAGGAAGTTTAAACCACCTTTATACGACCAAAGCAATGATTCGTCATCACACTTAACCTTCCTTGGTAAATTTTGTTTTGACAGTAGTCAGGGTAGATGTACTATTATCTCTGTTATTTCGTTTAGTGGTTCATTGTTATTTTAACCTTCAATGTGTCCTTTTAACTTGACCCAAGTCCATTTTCTTACCTCTTACCTCTTTATTAATTTCATATATATATATATATATATTGCTATGACAAGTCCGTATGTTTGATCAGATAGTTCGAAATGTGTTGTGGGCGCAAATGTATTACACGATTCAGACAAATTACGTCTTCTTATGGCTTTATCTAAATTCATAAAGAGAAATAATTGATTTGTCCGAATTCATAAGTAGAATTGTTTAAAAAAATACTAATAATAATGTCTAACATCTACACTCCACGGAGACATACAGCTATTTACTTGGACCAATTAATAAGATAGACATATATATTCGATAAAGGACAAATAATGTAATGCGAGGGAGTGAAGTGGTAGAGCACGTTGACTGCTTCACTTATTAAGGAAGTATCATCATCAGCCAAAGCCAACAGGTTGATCTCTGACGAAATCTCACCACGGATACAAATGCCATATGCCAGTTTACAACGTCTCTGGCTTAGTAGACGTGATATCCGGCTGGCTATCGACAAACCAGCGGATGTACTGCTCATCAGTCCGCTCCGTCCTCCTTTATGGCCAGCTGTGAGACCTAGCCATTGAGAGTGGGGGACATGAAAAGATTAGCTAGCTGTCTTTGATCATAGATGCCTGCGCTCTATTTTCCATGTGAAGTGGTAGGTGTAATAGGATGAGTAATATTGAGCTTACGAGTCCGTCGAGTGCTAGGTAAGCGTTGAGGGGAAATCAATAGACGAAGCTGTGAAATTACATCGACTGAGATAGTTAGGACATGAGTTACGCCTCAATGCCTAGTCATCGCTACCATAGGGTCAGGCTAGAAAACAGCTAGAGGCGGTCAAATCAAAACATGGCTTCATCAGTCAATCAAATCCACAACAGTTAGTATAAGCTAGCCAGCCAGCCATGTAGGAAGGTGTAGATAGCTTTACTGACCGGTTGAGATCCTCGGGACGATAAACACCAATGAAGGCTGGAGACAATCGATGATACGGCTCGAAATCCAAGTTCTCAATACTTGGCGATGATGCATCCATGATGATGACGAAACTCACACTGTACCGTCACCACTACCAATCACTATCAACGGAAGAAATGTGAAAGAGGTCACTTCCTTCACTCATGTAGGAAGCATCCTTCCAACTACAGGCACACAGCACACTTGAAGATGTTAAAGCCAGCCAGAATTGGGAAAGAAAAGACAAACATTCATCATCAATCTGAAATCAGTATGCGAATCTTCTGTACTCCATCCGCCTCAGCACAAAGAACAAGATTCCGATTTCCAACACAATTGGTAAGTCGGTCAGTCAGTCAGTCACTCAATTCTTCTATATGGGTCAAAACCTCGACCGACGCGTGACGAGAGCATTTCCAACAGGCTGTTGAAGACTTTTATCAACAGCTACCGCCTTCACTCGCTCCATATGCAATATTAAAACTGGTCAATCAGAAATAATTAGCAAAAAGAGAAAACTCGGCTGTAGAACAAACCAACGAAGAACCAAGTAAGAGAAAATGGAGATGGATTCGATACATGCACGCTGAGGAAACCATCAAATGACATCGTGCACCAGATTATCAGTCAAGTGGAACCTGAATGAGCGACGATGAGTTTGGCGTGTGTCCAAGGGTGACATGGAGGAGAAGGAGGTGATCAGAGACTCTACGTGATTGTGGGGCTAGCTAAACAGGACTGAATTTAAACAAGACAAAGTGGGGATGTGCTGCTGAAGCGATATGTTCCACTGGGAACCCAAGGGTACAATTATAGTAGTAATAATGATAAAATCTTATAGATAAACTTGCTTGTAATTCTGAAAGTGTAGGACGAAAGTGTGCATTTTAGAAGGCTATAAAACAAATACAAGACGTTCTTAGGTTGTCACTGACTCACACATACCCATACCAGGGAGTACTGGACTCCCTGGTTTAATTAATTAAATTAATCCGATGCTCGCTAGTGACTTGCCACAGGTTGGAGTTTCCTGAGTTCTAGTGAGAAGTCGTGACCAGTGAGATCCAATTAGATGTTACGTGTGTGGATGGATGTCTCACCAATGACAATGGTTGGGGTCGCGCTAAATCACGAATTGGTCGAAGTTAGAATTCATGAGCCATTGAAGTCGGGTCCCAGTGGCTGAATGGTATACGAGCTCGCTGGCCTTGTAACGGGAAGGTCCTGGGTTTGAATCCCAGTGGGTGCGTACTGCCGATGATTCCCAAAACTAGGATGTAACAGCAGCTGTCCAGTACTCCCTGGTTTTCAATGGTTCTCTAACTGATATCAATCCGTGATCAACTCGTAAAAACAAGATTTAATCTGTTGCATGTTGTCGAGGTATTTACTTAAAATGAATAACGTTATCTGCATACTCACTTAATCAATCTGTCAGAAAAAGGTTAATTCACCAACAAAAAAAGAGAACAGAAACAGAAGTCCATTTGTCAAATCTCCTATACTTCGACAAAACGTAAAATCAGAGAATAGAATTGCAATGCCACTACTACTACTACTACTGTAACAACAGAAGACAAGGGCCAGGCAACAGATCGTTTTATTATGAAAATCAACACGTATTTATACATATTTCACATACATTATTATAGCTTATGCAAGTAGACAAGCGCAGTCATCTGATTGGTTGTTTATCAGAAGTTAGGCAGACAAACGCAGGCTTCTGATTGGTTGTTTCGGGATTCCTCGACAAATAGAGTTCTCTATCTGCGAATCATATTTTGCCACGTTAACTTTGCTGTGATTGGTTGTTGAATCAGCCTTGCTCATATTTTCTCACGGCCTGCTCTCACCACACCACTACTACTACTACTACTTCTAATAATAGACATCTATGTGATAAAAAAAATCCTTTTATTTAGTGTATTCATACGTCGCGGTCAAACGAAACAACTAGTAATTTTATAGATCAGCAATAATATATTTCAATCTAAACCTTTCTAAATACATCTATTTTTTATATGACACAATTTCACCTCAGCTATCACACACTGCTGCTCATCGATAAAACTGTTGGACTAGAAATGAGTTGTACTTTCGTCTAAGACTTCTTTGGTTATCTTTATCACCAACATCTCTATGCTTACCTGGTGAATCGGTGAAGTTACATCGATTAAGATGGTTAGGACATGTGTTACGCATCAATGCCTAGTCATCACCTTCCTCGACAACGGGAAATGTTAGCTGACATAGGATCACGCTAGAAAACAGCTAGAGGCGGTCAAATCAAAACATGGCTTCATCAGTCAATGAAATCCACAACAGTTAGTTTAAGCCAGCCAGCCAGCCATGTAGGAAGGTGTAGACTTCCTGATTGAATGGTTGGGATACTCGGGACGATAAACACCAATGAAGACTGGAGACAATCGGTGATATGGCTCAAAGTCGTTCTCAATGAATAGCGCACATGCATCTACTCCTTGTGGCTTACAATTCCCGATGAAACTATATTGTTCTTCGTTATTACTATTCCTTTATCTCACATCTCTGTTTACTGTCTCTATTATGCATTTCTTCTACTTTCTTTTCTTGGTTTGCGTGCTACAAAGAAGGAGTTTGGCGACTTGAAGTGGTGCACATCGGTGCAAAGTTCTATGTCGAAAGCAGACAGACAGATGTTTACCTGGAGCCCTGCCTTCGTTACTTCTTGAGTCAGTTTGTTGCTGATACAATATTATTATTGCACATAGTTATTATTATCATTATTATTTAAAACAGTCGGTTCTCTTTATGAATTTGGACGAAGCAATAATAAGACATAACTTGTCTGAATCGTGTAATGTATTTCCGAGCACGACACATTTCGAAATTAAGAAAATCAGTTCAAAGAATTCTTAAAGCTGGTGAACTACACGTCTTATTCTTTACACGACCGATGGTGCTACCTCGACTAGCCACCTCTTATTGTATCTACCAATTCAACTGCGCTTGTGCTGGAGCGAGTTATATTGGCCGTTGCTCTAGGAACTTGATTTTTCGTCCTCACTCGAGAACATCTCCCACTATGACTAAGTAAAGGTGTAGTTAAAACCACTAACAGTTCGATATTGGACCATCTGGTGCAAACCAGCCACAAAGCCAGCCAGCATTGAAGAATCCTTCTCTATAATCTACCGGGTGCCGAATAAATTGCCAAAATCATCGAAGCACCGCATGCTTTAAACAGCAGAGAGGCTATTGCAATTCGCCTCAAACAACCAGTGGTTTGTATACAAAAGAAACAAGTCCAGCCCATAGTAATGCCGTGACTGGCCTTCAGTAGAGAGGCTATAAATTCATGAAGTTGTAATATTATCTTTCCTAATATTTCTGACATTCAGTTTATTGTTATGTTGGTGGTATTGAACTGTAATCTATTGATATTATTATTATTATTATTATTATTGATTCTATGTTATTTAAACAGTAACATTAATGTAGTTCATAATAACACTAATTCATTCATTCACTATAATGCATATATAACTAGAGCCTGATGATGAAGGGGTTATCGAAAAGAGTACTCTTTGTTCAGTTACTATCCATAGGCATATATATATATATGTATATATATATATATATTATTACTATTATTATTCAAAATAGGCAACATACGTTATGTTTCGAATCTTTAGCATCCATAGTATTTTTGTTACTGAACATGTTGTCAGGTAAAGGTAACGGTGAAATCGATGCTGGTGCTGATGACGACGATGTGGACGACGAATTCACTTGCATCGATGGATGACAATTTGTACACTTCATATATTCATGACTTTTTAATCGAGAAATAGACTGTACATCACCTGGAGTGAGGAATTAAAAAAAGAGGAAAACAAAATGAATAAAGCAAAAATGGTTTGTGTTTTTCCCCCTAGAAATCTTGAAGGTAGGAGGAGGCCATGTTGACTTTCCATAGGAATTACTCAAAAAAAACAATCAAAATAAATGATGAAACAAATATAGAGAAGAAAATTTTCCCTTTTTGACGATTCATTTTCACATAAGCTGTACAATTGTAATTTATACTTAACAAAGAATTCATAAGGCGACCAATCAGATACTGGTAAAATTTGTCCTCGAGAACGTAATACGTAGTGTGTAAGGTGTAGTCTAGATGGGGTTAGAAAAGGGGGGATGCAAGTTGGCATGACATAATAAGCACGGGGAAAATGATTAGTCAATATAATTGTTTAGAATGGACAGGAACCAGAAATCTGTATGAAAACGCAAGGTTATTAATTAGACAGTAGAACAGTAATAATAAAATTATGGATAATGCGAATGATAATAATTAGTGAGAATGTTACTCTAGCCATGGTAGGATGAGTGAATGTATGTGGTGCTTTTGAATGAAGACGTCCGGTTGCAGATCCCGAATAGACAGTTATTCAGCTATGTACAGGTGGCGTACTCAAAGTCCTTTTATACGATATCGGCAGACTCACTGAGAAGCGCTCATGCGGGTGGGAGTGTTCGATGTCTACAATTGATAAGGTGTTCGAGGATGGAGCTGCTAGCACTCTTCTTTTGTCCTCTGATGAAACAAGCTGGACAGTGTTCCAGAATATGTTTTCAGATTTGACATTGCATACGGCCGATATACTTTGCTCCACAAGAACAAGTAAACAGATAAACAGATATTGAGGTGGCAAAAAGCGGTATCTTATCGTTAACGTTACACTGAATTAACTGTCTGCTGCAGAATGTAACACGTAAGATGGCTGTTGGAAATGTCTTCTTCAGACGTTTAGAAGGGCGGTATCTGAAATTTTCTGATTAGATGTCACCTTTGAATTCCAGGTTCATGAAGAAAGTTTTCTCAGGAGCAGTTGTGATTTTTGGCGATGCAAGCTTTTCCTTCATGTTTTGTCAATGAATCATGGTGGACACCTGTTCTCTAGTAGGGTTTCACGTAATGAATTCAATTCCTTCTCCATCGTATCTTCCAAACAGATATTTCCTATCCTTGAACATAATGTACGCATTAGGTTTTGCTTTCGGACAAGTGGACCGAAGCCCTAGAAGTTGATAAACTGTCCCGTCCATGTTGTCTTGCGATATATTGGAGAAGTAGCTTCCTAGGACTTAAGAATAATAATAACTACTGACACTATTTTTGGTTATATAATCAAATAAGGACTACCAAAGTAGGTTCAGAACAATAATAAATTGTTTTTGTACACACAAGGTAAGGGGATGGAGCTTAAGCATACGAATAGCTATCGTCTCAGTGTATTCCAATGAGCGTCCTTGACCATTTTTAAATCTAACCTTAAAAGCTGCTTCGAAATCAATCTTGTGGTTCATATCGACTAGGTGTTCAGCTACAGACAAAGTTGGCAGTCTGTTGCCTGCTCTGACTGCCTGAATGACTGACTAGTTTCAACGTATAACTTTGCACAGATGTGCACCATTCCAACTTGCCACACTCCACCCATACAGAACACAAAGTGAGAGTAGAAGAGTGCATCGGCCAGACCAAGTGCATGATCGGCGAGAGTCCCAACCGCTGTGTTACTGATGCACAGCCTAGCCTTATTTACTGCTTTCCTTTCATCTTTCCCAGGCTATTTAAGAAAGACTTTGTTGTATTGTAAAAGGCACTAAAAGCCGTCAATAGGGCGAGTGGGATGTTGCTAAACCAACTTGTTTATACTGCTATGGATACACACATGGACTCCGGCAAGAAATTAACGTATATTAATGTTGTCAGACTCTGAGCAACCTCACCATACACAACTCTCTCTCTCTCTCTCTCCTCGCATGTCATCACATAAAACTAGAAGCAACTCTATATAAGACTGTATGCTCGGATAACTAAGTACAAAAACTCTACGATGCCGCATTCAGCAGGCACACATTTTATGTGGTGAGAAAAGCGTAAGGCAGGGGCATTATCAACCTACTGCGGAACTCTAAGTATATAAACATTTATTATTAATGACAAAAGTCGTTCTAATAAAGACGGTATACATTTAATGCATAGTTAAAAGTGTAACCTTAAAAATCGTTAACAAAGTGTTGAGGACAAAAAGGTGTTTGAAAACGCTGAAAAGAAGAAAAAAATACACACATACACACCTCAAAGAGTAATTTATAATTAACACAAATACAAAATATAAGAAGTAAAACAGATGTCAGTCAGGATAACAACTAACATAGAGAAAAGCAATAGAAATGCTCATTCATACAATTTTGCAACTATCCGGTCAAATCTTGATCACAGTTCATATGAATGTTCACTCCTCCTCTTTTAATAAAAAACTTAGATATCTTGAATTTCATCCCCACCTATACCTAAAACTGATTAACAACAAATAACTACTTGATTGGAAAAACATTATGATGCAAAACTGATATATTGGTGTAGAGTCGATCATGAGGAGAACTAACTTCAATTAGCTAGAAAAGGAGTCAGCCATTGCTCTTAATACACTTGCATGTAATCACGCCATCAGTGGGGGTGGAACTGGGTGAAAGTAATAAAAAGTAATATAGTTAGTTGGAGAGAGAGAGACAGACAGACAGAGACAGAGAAGAAAATCACTGAAGCTTTTTTTGGCGATTCAACGCCGCATATGTGCAATCGGAATGTCCCAACTGTCTGTCTGTCTGTCTACTTTTAACATAGAACTTTGCACTGATGTCCAGCAGCTCGAGTCCCCACACAACGCAAGATAAGAAGAAGAAGAAGAAAGCAAAATAGGAAATGCAAAATAAAGTCAATCAACACAGGTGTGAGATAAAGGAATTGTAATAACGAAGCACAATATAGATACATCGGGAATTATAAGCCACAAGGAGTGGATGCATCAGCACTAGTCATTGAGAACGATTTTGAGCGTATCACCGATTGTCTCCAGCCTCCATTGTTGTTTACCGTCCCGAAAAACCCAACCAGCAAGTTAGGAAGTCTACACTTTCCCACATGGCTGGCTAGCTTAAACTAACTGTTGTGGATTTCATTGACTGGTGAAGTCATTTTTTTCGTCTGACCATCACAAACATCTCTTTCCCAATCTGATCCTATGTCAGCTAACATTACCCGTTGTCGAGGAAGGCGGTCGCTAGGCATGCATTCGTTACACATGTCCTAACCATCTCAATCTATGTAGCTTCACAGCCTCGTCGATTGATTTCTACTCTCACCAACCTACCACTCGCGACCCAAGCCTAAGCTCAATATTGCTCACCCTATCACACCTATCACCTAACACACACGGGAGATTGAACACAGGCACTTATGATAAAAGACAGCTGGCTAGCCCTTTTCATGTCTTCCACTCTCAATAACCAGATCTCAAAGCCATAAAGGAAGACGGAGTGGACTGCTGAGCAGGACACACACCCTTTAGTCGATAGCGGGATATCACATCTACCCAGCCAGAGACGTTGTAAACCAGCATATGCGAAGCTAGCCTTCTGTGTCCGTTCTGAGATTTCGCCAGTGATCAACCCGTTGGGGATGAATATCGCAAAACCTATACCGGAGATATGGAAAGTGACAACAGACAACAAGGCGAGAGAGAGAGAGAGGAGATATGTATATGTGAAACCATGTGACTAAATTAATATGATCATGAGTGGCAATAAATTATGCTCGAAACCTTGTCATCCAGTTGTTAATCCTGCATCTCATCACTGTGTGTGATATTTAAAATCAACTCATCTTTTTGCTTCCCTCTCTGAAGGAAAACCAGATAAAATTTTCTATGAATTATAAAACATTCGGAAAAGTAGTTCACAAAGAAAAGAGAAGGCCACTCTCACTCTCCATCAAATCAACAACTAATAGATTAAAGTATAAATTAAAGGTCATGAAAAATGCCAAAATATTATGCATTTTAAATCAACTGAAGGTAAACCGTCTAAGGGAATTTTATTTCCGGACATTATTACCACTGTTACACACACACACGCACACACACTTCTAACTGTTATTCAAATATAAACTTACAGTGGAAAGAATGAATTCTAAAAGACCTTTTCGGTTAAGTGAATCGTCATCTATGAACACTAGTCAAGTGATATACAGATCGTGTGAAAAACAATGGAGCCAGTAATGCACTGGATATCATAGTTTCCATTTGTTTAAAACTACATTGTAGTTCTGTCGACTGTGAAATATGCATAAGATAATCCTATATACTGTCCGTAAAGTAGGTTTCTATCTATCTACCATCCAAAGTTTGAACTGTATACTGATTCTGTCAGAATTTTGAACAAATACGGTCAAAAAAAACCAAGTAGAAAGGTTGTGTATTTAATTAGTTGTCAAAAATCAGAGGAATATGAATACTGTTCTAAGAACATTTTGAGGAGATGTATACGTCAATGTACGCCAAGTCACATCATTCATCCTGGAGAGAATAATAGATGCGCTGGATGCAGAAATTCACCCACGCTAGAAAAAGCTGGATTCAAGAAGAGTATATCATGGAGCAAACAAATCAAGAACCAGTCGCCAACCAACAAATATGTAGAAGAAAGTGGAGATGGATTGGACACTCGCTGAGGAGGCCGGTTGGTGACGTCGCGCGTGCGTTAGGCCATTGCTCGAGTGGAACCAGGCCGAAAGGGAAGCGGCGAGTGGGATGCCAGGGCAATGGTGACATGGAGGGGATCGTGTGAAGAGGAGTTGAAACAATATGGACAAAAATGGATGCAGTTGAAAAGTAGAGCAGAAGACAGAAGCAAGTGGAGATGTGCAGTTGATGCCCTATGTTCCACTAGGAACCCAAGGGAACAATAATGATAGTATTATGGAGTTGAACAAATTGCAACTCTACACATCATCATCACAGAACAAAGCATATAGAATGACAGTCATATATCTACGTCAACTTCACCAATCTCGAAAAAGCATTCGGCAGCATTGACTGAGACGTGATTTGAAAACTACTTCAACAATATGGCGTGCAGTTATCCAAGTCTTCATCAATCTCATTCAACCACAGCTATGTGGCCCTGACACGTCGTGTGAGGTCATCCACAACGGAAAACTCAGAGAGGTGTTCGACGTGAATACAGGAGTAAGACAAAGCTTGCTGCATATTATCACCGATGATATTCTTGATTATGGTGGATGGGATTATGCATCAGACTGTGTGTCGGGGGTGGCGAGGCGGCAATACGTTGGATTACTAGCAAGAAGACTGTAGCAGATCTGGATTTCGCGGGTGACGAATTATGTTCAGTGTCACACAAACTAGAAGACTGGTAGACGAAAACCAACAAACTGACTGAAGAGGTGGGCAGAGAAGAGAAAACTAAAAGTGAACACAGAGACGACGGAGGTGATGAAGATACCGACACACTACAACCAACAAAAACAACAACCAGCAACAATCTCCATCAATGTGACAGATTTGGATAAGGTTATTTCTTTCACTTATCTAGGAAGCATCACTGCAATCACTGACACACGGAACGGATGAAGATGTCAGAGCCAGCCACAATCGGAAAGACATCATCAAACTGAAACCAGTTCGGAAATTTCCTGCACTCCACCTCAGTATTAGGAACAAGATCAGGATCCTCAATACAAATGTGAAGTCAGTTAGTCAATTTCTTCTATACGGGTCAGAAACTTTCAATGAGGGTCAGGAAAAAGATTTCCAAAAAGTTACACACCTTTATCAACCAGCTGCCACCTTCGTTAGCTGACTCCATACTGAAGATCAAATGGCCGACCAGCCAGAAAGAATAAGTAACAAGGAACTCAGCAGTGGAACAACCTACCGTTCAACAAATACGCTGGGGAAAGTGGAGATGGATCAGGCATAGGTTGAGGAGGTTATCGAGTGAAAGCGCATGTCAGACCAGTGGTCGAGTGGGATGTGAATGGGAGTCGACAAGCGGGGAGTGTATCTGAAGGTGATATGGAGGAGAAGGAAATCAGAGAATATGGGCGGCCATGAAGCCAGACAAAGAGGACCGCAAGGGATGGGACAGACTGAAGATGAGCTGTTAAAGCCCTACGTTCCACTAGGAACTTAAGGGAACAATAGTAATAACAATTAAATATTGGTCTGTTGCGTTTGCATCTATTAATGAATCTGAAAATTATTGATTGTGTCATTCATCAGTCTGTTCGGTTAACATTTACAGATTATAACTACTAGAAACCAGGAGTGACCATGCTGCACTTCCCGAAAGTTTTCCAGTTTCCATCTCAATGAAAAATACAGATGTGATAGAAGTTGCCTGCGACTAACTGACTGACTGACTGGTTGGTTGGTTGGTTGGTTGATAAGACAACACACAACTCTAACTTCTCGAGTTGCAAATCCTCGAAAAAAATACACGAGTACAATGACGCTGTATGTGTATGAAAAAATAATAACAATAATTATAAGAAGATTAATGAGAATATTCAGAATCTGAAAGATAATAAGAGAGAAAAAGTTAAACCACACCCTGAAAGACCCAATTTCAAACAACCTACACCCTATTTTTATTCACTATCATATTTTAATACGATTACACTCAGCTCTTTCTTCCCTCACCCTCCAAAAAACAATCCTACTTCATCATCTAAAACAGTGTCCGACAACGGAAGCCAATGGAAACGTCGGCATGCACAACACACGTCGATCTCACCATGGACGATGTGTAAAGCTAGTATCTCATTGATTGATTCACCTTTCCTACTTGGCACAGCGGTAGAATGCTTGTCGACCACACCTCATGTCGTCCGGGGTTTGATCTACGGCCGACGAGGCACTCCTTTACCTCCCTCAATAAGCCACTAATAAGACTGGTAAAAAGCGAAGGTCAGGCGTGAGGCTAGCAACCCTATCCTGTAAAAATAAACACCACTGCTACAGAAATTTCAAGCCTCTAGCTTGAAACGCTACGTTCCATTGAGAACGTAAAGGAATAAAATAAAAATCTACACTCTTACACACATACACACACGCACACATACAAAGAGAGAGAAAGAAGGAGAGGGAGAGAGAAGTATACAGAATTTCAAAGGAAATAAGTAGAAAAAAAGACTTACAATTTCTTTTACAATTTCGAATTTGATTGTTTAACTGTATTGATGATGTCGACAGTTCAGGTAATGATGAAAACTGTTGTTGTTGTTGTTGTTGCTGCTGATGCCGCAGGTGCTGCTGTTCATAACACCTATTAGATACAATTATCGATTGATATGATTGTGAAATTCCACCCCGATCCATTGATAACGGTTTACACTTGCCATTTACAATACTCACATTTGAAGGCGGTATATTCATTTCCTATAAAATTAAAATGTAAAAGAAATATTATAATTTAAAACAAACAAACAAGAAATGTTTCAATTTAGTATCGTTTGATTAAATGATTAGAGGTATTTTTGGTAGGGAGTCAGTGATAAAATGTCCATTAATACACTCGGTAATTTGCGCTGACGAAAATCATACCGAGTCGACTTGTGAGCGCCTACTGTTCTAGTCACTATTATAGCAACAACAATAACAACGACACGATACAATACCACCGAACCCACGATGCAAGAAGACAGACCACTGACGTAGAAAGCTCCTACTGCCTCTAATCTACACGGGAAAGGGTTGACAGTAATAGTATATATATATATATATATGCTTTAGATGGCCTTGGGAGATACTAATTACATTGATAAGTTAATACAGGCAACGTCCAACAGAGTTCCAAAGTCATAAGTTGGGGTGGGGAGGGGTGGTTTGAAATTAAAACAGCACTGTACTGTAAAGATAAATACAGTAGTTTAGAAAAATTAGGTATATATAACATGGTAATAGATTTAATGTTTAATGGGGTATTTATCTGCAATCCTAGATAAGCTGACTTATACTCGGGGATTCAAAATTCAATCACTCAGTGCTGCAGTCATACATGTTAACATCACTAAGCTGTTCAGCCGCACTGACTAACTAATACGAAGATGATATTGATTTACTTAAATATTTAAACTGAAAGTTTCCAAATCATTAGGTGTCAAGTTAATAAATAAACGTATATGTAAAAAAAATATATTTTAGAACACGATGAATTCTCGTCAGGCTTTACAATTACATAATAAAATATCTGTAAGAAATATTTGGGAATTTTCAAGTATCAGTTTTGTAGGGAGGTTCGAATCCAGGACGTTCTGGTTACAAGGCCAGAGAGCTCGTAGACCATTCAGCAGCCACTGGGAGGCCACGAAAGAAGGTGTAGACTGACTGACTGGTTGGGGTCCTTCAATGGTTGGAGACAATCAGTGATGTGGCTCAAGATCGTTCTCAATAGCTGGCACAGATGTATCCACTCCTTGTGACTTATAATCTCCAATGAGACTGTTTTGTTCTTCGTTATTACTCCTCCTTTGTCTCACACCTCTGTTAACTGTCTCTACTAAACATTTCTTCTACTTTCTCCTCTTGCTTTGTGTGCTACATGGAGACAGTGTGGCGACTTGAAGTGGTGCACATCGGTGCAAAGTTCCATGTAGAAAACAGACAGACAGGGACACTATCCAATGATCAGCTAGTCCATGAATTCTAACTTCTGCCAATTCATGACATAGCGAGACCACTTCGCAATGTCTTCTTCGACAAGTTACTGCCTCACCACCTTCAACCTTCTGTGTATGCCTACTGGTTACGGCTTCCCACTAGAACCCCAGGCAACTAACTGCTTGAATAGGGCCAGTCGCTCGTGAGCATCAAATTAATTTTAAAGTATTGATTTGAGAATTAACCACAAAAAATGATAATAGAAAATACTTAAGTTTTGGTTTGTAAGGATTTGGTTGGTTACAGGATTTCATCATGAGCTGACAGTGGCTAGAAAACCACTGGAAAACCTGAGAGTAATGGACAACCAGTTGTTTCTTCCTACTTTTGGACCCTTCATCAGTGCGCACCCACCGCCCGGCCGATAACTGCTACCTTGTCGTGGTGGTCGGGCTTGAATACCGCAATGACCCAACAAGCTGAACTGACTGGGACTCTGTCTCTACAGGTCCTACCATGTCAGGAAGGTTTTCTGGATAGCGGTTAAACTAAAAGCAGTTACCATGGGGTACATGGGCTCCAGTTTCCAATCGGATCAAATGGCGTATGAACCCACATGGGTCACCGGCAACCATGGGAATGCAGCTCCTGACGCTGCTCCGCTGCCTTGCGGATTAGACTCCAAGTCAAAGGCTCGGGGGTGGTCCCTTAATAAAACCACCTGCTTCGGTCTGGGCGCCCGGGCAGTATCTCAGCCCGCACACAATGAATGAATTAAAGCAACGAACTCCCATTGAAACTCAACGCGCGCTAGTAAAATGATTCCAAGCAATATTGATCCCTCAAGGAACTTATTTCCTTCCTACCCTACTTTTATTTTTATACATAGTTTCCTGTATTGTACCTTTTCTAACCTTGGCTTCTTAACCTTCGACAGCCTTTCGCCTTTGTCGAGATTCCCAGCCTATCCGTGTCGTTTCGAGATGTTAGTGAGTAGTCCTCAAAATGGTTGTTCCCAATGTGACATCTAACACGGATATCCTGAAACCGCGTGCTGCGTTCAAGCTGGCTACCTACAATGTTCGGACGCTGATGCAAATCGGACAACAGGCAGGGTTGGCAAGAACTTTGGAAAGCCTCGCTATCGATGTCTGCTGCATTTCGGAGACCCGCATTCAAGATCCCAGTGAAGTGCTTCGACTATCCTCTCCATCTGGAAGTTCTAGTAGTATGTACCACCTGCGCTTATCCGGGGACCCTGTGGCGTCGGCATCCGGCGTAGCTGGTGTCGGTGTCGCACTGAGCGCTAGAGCCGAAGCTGCACTGCTCGACTGGATTCCCATTAACAGTCGTTTATGTGCTGTGAGGCTGGAAGGTTATACGAAAGTAAAGAGTAGTAGGCCAGATAGGCGGTGTCTATTTGTTGTCTCTGCCTATGCACCGACGGATTGCAGCCCGGATGCAATGAAGGATGAGTTTTACTACCAACTGAGCGATCTCTTGAAACAGGCGGGTCGGAGGGATATCGTAGTGCTGGCTGGGGACTTGAATGCACAGGTGGGGCGTCTAAGCTCAGAGGAGAATCGTCTAGGTGGTCAGTGGGGACTACATGGTCGCAGGTCAGATAATGGGGACCGTCTTCTGCAGCTTTGCGCGGATCACAACCTATTTCTAGCTAGCACCAACTTCCGGCACAGCCATCGCCGTAGCGCTACCTGGCGTCCTCCCTCTGCGAAGCAAGCTTGGACTCAGATTGATCATATCGCGGTCAGTTTCCGGTGGCGAGGATGCATACAAGACTGTCGCTCCTTCTGGAGCACATGCCTGGACTCCGATCATGCGTTAGTGTGTGCCAAGTTCGTCTTGCGATTTGGTGGGGTTCGTAAAAGCCGTCGTCTAAGCGTTGATGTGAGCAAACTAGTAGCACCTGCTACTTCTTTGAAATATCAGAATGAGTTAAAAACAATGCTTGCCAGCAACCCCCCAAGTAGTATAGATGAACATTGGCTTCATGTGCAAGGTGCCATGCAAAAGGCGAGTGTAGCCGCTTGCGGCTTGAAAGAATGCTCCGCTAACAACCACTGGGTTTCTGCGAGTTCCTTGCAACTCATGGATGAACGCCGGTCCATTCCGGCTGGCAGCGAATACAACAATCAGCGAAAGGCGCTCACGCGCAAGATTAGACAGTGTTTACGTAAGGACCGCGAAGCCTGGTGGTCAGAACGTGCGTGTGAGATGGAGTCAGCTGCTGCATCTGGCAACAGTCGGAAGCTGTTCCAACTCATACGAGCCACCGGCAGCAAGAAACAAGGTGTCAGCGAGACGGTCTGTGAGGCAGATGGCACTCCAATTACCAGCCTGAAAAGACGCCTGGAACGCTGGGCAGAGCACTTCGGGAAGCAGTTCAGCTGGCCACCAGCTTCAGTGTCTACTATCATTAGCCCGAGTGCTCCTTGGTCGGTTAGTACCGACCCACCCACCGAAGCGGAGGTCCGTAAGGAACTCCAAGTTCTGAAACGCCATAAGGCGCCCGGCCCAGACAAATTACCCCCGGCTCTTTTTAAAGATGGTGGCGAGACTCTCACAATGGCTCTAACTGGGTTGTTCAGGAAGGTGTGGGAGACAGAGAGTGTACCATCAATGTGGAACGAAGCCATTATCGTCCCCATCTTTAAAAAGGGTCGACGTAATTCGTGTGACAATCATAGGGGTATCAGTCTGTTACCAGTCGCGTCTAAAATATTGGCTGCTGTCTTGCTTCGCAGACTGTGCAAAATACGTGAAGGATTGATTCGCGAAGAGCAGGCTGGGTTTCGTTCAGGTCGTGGATGCATTGATCATGTGTTCACCCTTCGTCAGTTGTTGGAACACCGCCACACGTATTGCAGGCCAACGATCGTTGTGTTTCTTGATATTAGGGCTGCCTTCGATTCGTTGGACAGAACTGTGCTCTGGAACTGTCTGTTAGAGAGAGGTGTACCTGAGAAATTTGTTAACATCCTGAAAGCCCTATACAGAAACACCTCAGGTAGAGTGAGGGCATACAACCAACTATCACCACTGTTCCCAACCAACAGTGGGGTTAGACAGGGTTGCCCAATCTCTCCATTTCTCTTTAACTTTGCCATCGATGACATTCTGGAGTCAGCTCTGAAGGATGTGCGTGAAGGTGGTGTAGATCTGCTACCTGGAGATAGACTTTTCGACCTCGAGTATGCAGACGATATCGTCTTACTGTGCGATAGCATGCAGGCTGCCCAAATCGCACTTAATCAGTTGGCGATCAGTGTCTGTAAGTATGGTATGTGCTTTGCGCCGTCTAAGTGCAAAGTACTGTTACAAGATTGGCAGGAGCCTGTACCTGCACTCACTCTTGCGGGTGAACCGCTTGAAGTTGTTGATAAGTTTGTGTACCTGGGTAGTTGTGTGAGTGCTGGCGGAGGGGTGACGGATGAGATTTCCAACCGTATAATGAAGGCTAGGGTGGCATACATCAACTTGAGCCACCTCTGGCGCCGTCGCGACGTTAGCCTGGCTGTCAAAGGTCGGGTATACAATGCTTCGGTGCGGGCTGCGCTGCTCTACGCCTGTGAAACCTGGCCTCTCCGAGCTGAGGATGTGCGGCGACTCTGCGTGTTCGATCACCGCTGTCTCCGCAGGATTGCTTGCGTTCGATGGCATCATCGCGTGAGTAATTCTGAGGTTCGGCGGCGTGTGTTTGAACAAAGTGGAGATCACCATTCATTGAATGTCGTCATCTGGAAACACCGGCTCCGGTG